GGAAAATATGGGGAAATGCTTCCAAATGCACATTTGCTTTTCACATTACGTTGTGAAATTACCTTAATTGCACATTTGCATTTCCTCAAAACAACCGAATTTCAAAAGATCTCCGTTAACACCAGTTTCTGTCCACTTTCTGTCCAGTTTCTGTGCGACGTCGTGTGAAAACGCGGGGCACAAATCCAGTTTCTGTTTGGGATTTGTGTGGGTTAACCAGCAGATTTGCCCCCGTGTGATAACGTCCTTGTAGTTGTTGATCTCTGGAATCCTGAACATGGCTTGTGGCTTATTCTATTCGGATGGAGAACAGATCTGTTATTTGGAGACTTCCTGCTGGCAGCTCGGCCTTGTCTTTGCCGAGCCTCTCTTATCAGCCGTGTTTGCATGTGTGCCGACAGCATTCTCAGACAACGATATGGGAACGGGTGTTACCACATTAGACTATTGATAACACGATAGTAACGTTGTAAGAACACATATTATCACACAGCATTTACTGTTGTACTGGTACCGGCGCTAAAAGTAGTTTCTCAGCTGTCCCTCATTGGTGCCTGCTCACTGTTGCGAAAACCCCTATGTCTGCGTTGGAAAGAATGATAGTCCTTGGATTTAGTAGAATTAAATACAGTAGTTATGGTGATAAGAACAGCTGCAGGGGGGGAAAAAGAGAGAAAATAGATATAAAGCTTTGCTAGCTTGGGAAGTCACAGTGAGTGGGAGTAAGGGTGAGAAAAGGCATAGGAATGTATATGTAAATCAGGGGTAGTCAACCTTTTTGAGCCGGGGGCCGGGTTGCTGTCCCTCAGGCAACTGGGGGGCCGAAGCACAAAATAAATAAATAAATAAATAAATTGGGGGAAAAAATATGCATGCACACTCTCTCAGCCCCAGAAAAGCCATGGCAAAACCCCTGCGGAGATTTTGCCAAGAAAACCCCAAGAACAAGTAATAACAACAATAATCAATATCATTATGACGGGCGGCGGCAGCAGGACCGGCCTGGGGCTTGTCTAAAGGCCTCGGGGGTCTGCATCCGGCCCCCGGGCCTTAGGTTGCCTACCCCTGATGTAAATAGACAAGCTATTTTGAATGGATGTATGTATGTAAAGTTACGTCTGTATGTTGTTTTTTCCTGTATTTTCTCTCTTTTAGTTTTGCTTTTTGTTTGTAGGTTTATAATAAAAAAAAATTTTTTAAAAGAATGCTACCAAAAGGTTTAGGTAGCGAGCATTCATTGTTTTTTCTCGCAAACACAACTCAATCTACAAAAATAAAAATAAATAAATAAATTGCCTGCGGCATCTTCCTTGCATCAAAACTGGAAGAGTTGAGTTGAGTTTATTCTAGGACAGGAGGGGAGGAGGTTGTCTTAGGCAATCAGAATATGAGGACAGACTGAGACCGGGTGGGATTATCGCACACAATCATCTGGAACAGTCTGTAAGCATCCTTCTGGCTGAGGATGCATTTTGACAGTTCTCCTCCTGGAACAGGCTATGGACTGTCAGAGCACAGAATGGGAACGCGATGAAGATCATATCATGTGATAAAATACATTCCGTTCCATTCTCATCATGTACTCATTAACATTCCAAGAACGCAGTGCAATAAGCTTAATAAGCAGAGCTTGGAAAAGTTACTTTTTGGACCGCAATTTCCATTTTGTCCAAGCCAGCAGCTATGCTCATCCAAAAAAAAAAAAAAAAAAATCACCAATGGTCCAAAACACACTGCAGAAATAATCCAGTTTGAGACCACTTTAACTGTCCTGACTCAGTGCTAGGGAATTTAGCCTCCTCTGTCAGAGAGCTCTGGTGCAGCAATAAACTACAATTCCCAGGATTCCCTAGCACTGAGCCAGGGCAGTTAAAGTGGACTCAAACTGGATTATTTCTGTTAGTGTGCTTTGGACCCATGTTTTCACTTTCTGATCTTAAATAATAGCTAGGCAGGAGGCAGAAACTAGGAACTAGGAATCAGATCTGGTAAATTTTAATTTAGGACAGGAGGTGGGGAGGTTGTCTTAGCCAATCAGAACACGAGGACAGATTGAGACCGTGTAGGACAGGGGTAGGCAACCTTTCCCCTTTAAGGGCCGAAGGACTTCAGCTCCCAGAAGCCTCAGCCATGTTGGCCAATAGTCCCATGTTGGCAAATAGCTCCTGAGATTCTGGGAGCTGAAGTCCCTCAGCCCTTAAAGGGGAAAGGTTGCCTACCCCTGGTGTAGGATTATCACACACGCACACTGGCTATTTACTTAGGCCTCACTGAACTACAAATCCCAAAATGCAACAGGAGGCAGCCAGAGCAAAGCGGGATAGCAGCACTATAGGAGCGTAGCGCTGTAATCTCCCAAGAAGGCATTGCCCACCCTAGCACTTCCGCACTCCACATTTACCCAGGCTGCACCGCGCTTCGCTTCTCTGCCCCGCCTGCCGCGACTTGGCCTCCATCTCGCGAGACTTGGTCTCCTACTTGTGACGGAAGCGGAAGCAGGCGTTTCTCTTTCCGCTCAGGCGAGGAAGCAAGATGAGGTGGGTCCCCGGCCTGGGTTGGCAATCCGGAGCCATCCGCGGTTTGTCGGCTCCCTTGAGCCTCGCGGAGCGCCCCTTTCGCTGCGGGGAGATTAGGGCGACTCTCGGGGGGACATGGCGAAGGGAGGGCCCCGCTGGGAGGGAGTGAGGCGCCCTCAGGGCCTTCCCCGCTTATGGCGCCCCGAAGGCCAAGCTACCCATGGGCAAGATTTGTTCAGAGGAAGCTTGCCATTGCCTTCCCTTGAGGCTGAGACATTGGGACGTACTAAAACAAATGATAGTACTTGAAACACTGGAGATGTTGCCTATGCTTTCCGATGGGCAAGTACTGTATTCCCCAATGGTTCTCTATGGGCAAGTGTTCTGCATTGTTTCCCTATAGGCAGATAATTCCCAGTATTGCCCTATAGGCAAATATTCCTAATATATCTCTATGGGCAAGTATCCTGCAATGTTTCCCTATACGCAAGTATTCCCCAATGTTTCCCTATAGTCAAGTATTCCCCAATGTATCCCTGTGGGCAAGTATAGTTTCCCTATGGGCAAGTACTGTCATTTGTTTTAGTACGTCTCTGAGAGAGTGTGACTTGCCCAAGGTCACCCACTGGGTTTCGTAGCAGAGCTGGGAATTGAGCCCTGGTCTCCAGAGGCATAGTCCCAATCGGGTAGGCAACCTGTCCCCTTTAAGGGCCGAGGGACTTCAGCTCCCAGAAGCCTCAGTCATGTTGGCTAATTGTCCCATCTTGGCCAATAGCTCCTGGGATTCTGGGATCTGAAATCCCTCGGCCCTTAAAGGGGAAAGGTTGCCTACCCCTGCTCAAACTACTATGCCATGCTGGGTCCAATATGTGTAAAAACTGGTGACATACTAAAAGTAATTACAGTACAATACTTGCCCATAGAGCAGGGGTAGGCAACCTTTCCCCTTTAAGGGCTGAGGGACTTCAGCTCCCAGAAGCCTCAGCCATGTTGGCCTATAATAGTCCCATGTTGGTCAATAGCTCCTGGGATTCTGGGATCTGAAGTCCCTTGGCCCTTAAAGGGGGAAGGTTGCCTACCCTTGCCATAGAGGAAACCATACTTGCCCATAGAGAATCATTGGAAGATATTTGCCCATGGCAAGTATGGGCAGGTGTTTCCAAACGATTCCCAGTGGACAAGTCTAGGTTTCCCTATGGGCAAGTACTATCATTTGTTTTAGTACGTCCCTAAAAAGTGATCTCTTGAGGCGGAGAGATTGTAAGTCACCCAATGGGTTTCATGGCTGGGATTTGAACCCTGGTCTCCAGATTCAGAGCCCAACACTCAAACCATTACTCCACGCTGGTTTACAGGTGAGGAATTGGGAGGGCCCTGTCTGTACTCACAGCAACGTTTAGCCCCCATTTTTGAAGCCTTCGTGTGGAATTTAGTTACTAGTGGCTTTTGCACAGATCTGGACCTAAATGGAATTGTTAGTCCCACCTTGAGTGGATTTATTCAGGTAACACATTACCGCACTACCCTCTTATAGTACTGCTATTCCACTTTTACTCTGGCTGCCTCCTGTTGCATTTTGGGGTTTGTAGTTCATTGAGGCCTAAGAGCTCTCTGGCTGAGAAGTCTAAATGCCCCTTCTTAAATGGCAAATCCCAGAATGCAACAGGAGGCAGACAGAGCAGTTAAAGTGGAAAAGCAGCACTACAAGAGTGTAGTGCAGTAGTCTAGGTAGTGACTGAAGGGTATGGTAGCACGCAGGTTTCACTGATTAAGTGCATCTACTCTAATTGTAATAAGTTGGATTTAGGGGCTGGTTAGGAGGAAGATTCTATGGATTTTCTATGGGTTTAAGCAGTGATTCCCAAACTCTGGCCTTATATGTGTTTTCGGCTTCAGCTCCCAGAATCCCAGGCCACTGGATAAGATGACAGGCTTCTGGGTGCTGGAGGACCTGAATTTGGGAATCACTGATTTAGGGACTGGTTAGGATAAGGGGGGGATTTAGGGCAGAGGTTCCCAAACTTTGCTCTTCTAGATGTTTTGGACCTCATCTCCCAGAGTTCCTGACTGTTGGCCAAGCTAGCTGGGGCTTCTGCAAGTTGAAGTAAGTCCAAAACCCTGTAGGAACAAAGTTTGGGAACCACTGATTTAGGGGTAGGTTAGCAAGTGGTTGGGTTTAGGGGCTGGTTAGGAATACAGCCAGCGTTGTGTGGTTGGTTTGAGCTTTGGACTGTGACTTTTGAGACCAGGGTTCAATTCCCATTCAACCATGAAACAAACCTTGGGTGATTTGTACACTTTCAGCCCCAGAAAACACTATGTTTTGCCTTTGTTTCCATAAGTTGGAAATGACTTGAAGGCCCACAACATAAGATGAGGTTGACGGTATTGGTAAACCTCTTGTAGACAATCTGGTTATGACCTTAAAAAGATCATTAGTGAACATTGCTGTGGGCCTGCTGGGGTCCTGTAGAATTTGTATAGCTTGATTTGGAAAACAAGGTTATTCTTGCTGGCCTGCTTCCTTAGTTATCACACACACATACTTTGCTGAAAAGCACAAAATGTGTGTGTGTTTTAGGGCTTTGAGGAAGACAGTAGAAGATGGGTACAAACAATCGGGTTTGGGTCAGCAGTTGTGTTGCCGTTGCTCAATAAAGTCCTAGTCAACTTGGACATTATTAAACATGCCTTCTCAGTATGCATTGTATATGTAGAACCCCTGGTCAAACAACCTGTAAACCAGACACAGATATGCCCTTGAAGCTATCTGTTGTGAAGCAAAGCTTAACACTAATATTCTTCAAACTTACTGGGAATGAGTAGTGTTCTTTAAGTCCTTGAAATGTGTACTTGATGAGGTTGAGTTCCTGTAGCAGCCTGTGATAAGAAGAGTTAGGAATGAGTGTTGAGCAGGGGTTGCCACATCAAAATGGGAAGAGCATCTTATTTTCTCTTAGGGGACAGTGTAAACTGAGTTGAAGAACCTTTGTCCATCCAGCAGCTCACATTGAACCTAGTAGTAAAGAAAACCTATTTCTTTCAAGTATCCTCCCCTTTTGTCTCATTGCATCCTTGGAAGCTGAGAAATTTTGCCATGCTTCAAGTAAAACTGGATAACTATTTTTGGGGTGTTCCTCTTTTTTGTGTTGTATGTATTCATGACATCTAAATAAACATGCCTCACATATATACTATGTTTTTCCATAACAGCAAGGTCTCCCGTGACACGCTGTATGAAGCGGTGAAGGAAGTCCTTCAGGGGAGTCAAGCAAAGCCACGCAAGTAAGAAGTGTATCACCTTAATTCTAGTTCACACCTCCTAATTCTATGCATTTAACAAGAAATACTTTGATTCATGAGATCAAGGTAGAATAGCTTAATCCTATGCAAAGTGTTAAATAAAAGCACAACTAAGGGTTCACTTCCCTTCTTGTCCTAAAATTGGAGCTCTTAAGGTTGGACAGTTGGCTGACTTGTGTTCAGCTTCTGCCCATTAAGGAGAATGTGGAGTTCCATCATGCTTGCAAGGAAGCATAGCAGATTATGTGTTGCCCTGTGACAGAGAGTGGAATGAAATACTTGGACGAACTGTCCCTCTCCACCTCACCTCAAGGGATGAGGAAAAAATAAGGCGGTGCATGCAGCTAGCTACGCAGGCAGTGGATAGTATTTTAGCGGCAGTGCTCTGCTGATCTTTGTTAAGGTTATAAAGCTAGAAGATTTCTCCCAGCACCATCTTGTCTTAATCTGACAGTGTGGGGAAATAACAAGCAGATCCTGAATGTCTGAGCTGGCCTTTTTCCCTCTGCATATTGTGCAATAGTGTCTGCAGAGTAGAGAGTTAAGCAGTTGGGTAGCTGCAAACATAAGAATACAAAGTTCGAATCAGCAAGTTTTAGTCACTCTGTGAAATACTCCAGCAGCCTGGCCCTATTCCCTCTGGATGTGGAGGGACTGGAGGAGCCTTAATATAGTGTAAACCGTTAATATAGTGCAGACCATAAGCAGGGGTTTATGCTTATCTGTCCGTCCATTCCCCCACCACCACCGCCTTCCTCAAAGGAATTAAATCTGATTATTCTAAGAGATTGCTTTAGTTGGCTGTACAGGTTTTCTGTCTGATTCATTATGCATAAGTGCAATGTGCTAGGTATCCCACATATTGTCTCTCTCCATATTAGTCATTGATGGCACAGGGGTGCATACACATTACCACACATTGACTAATATGGATTTGAGCTCCCTGGTTGTTCCTATCCCTCCCTTATTATTATAATTCATTTTGGGCCCATAGTCTTCCCAGGATGGTCAGTGAAAACTGGGATTCTTGGTTATTCATCATTTAGTCCTTGAACCGTAGAAGTGAGGAGAATTTATGCTTCTCACCTGTTCCTGTGGTGTGGATTATACTTCTTAATTTGTCCTGCATGCACTTAGGTATATTTTGTGTGTCACTGAATTGTTTTTAAGCCAAATTTGTGTTTAACTTTCTGTTTCTTTAGATTCTTGGAGACTGTGGAGTTGCAGATCAGTCTGAAAAACTATGACCCACAAAAGGACAAGCGTTTTTCTGGCACTGTCAGGTTTGGATTTGTTCCTGTTCCACCCAGCCTTCAGTCTTCACCCTGCTCCTTATTACAGAGCTGAGTTCATCTCATCTCTTATAAAGTTATAGCATGTTGGATGCTAATGTGCATAGCAGCTGGGTGTAATGCTGAATTGCCTGGGTAGTTCAGATCTTCCCACTGTAAAGTGGGTGTGACTGGACGGACCCCTACCCTGGGTCTTAAAACATGAGGGAAGGTGTGGTGAGGCTATGCTGCTGATCCCACCGATCACTTTAAGAAGCCAGACTTAAACGCTGATGGGTGAAGACTTGCCATCTGGTGGTGGTAAGGCTTTTCAGCCATGATTCTGAATATCCTTTTTACATTTTATATTGCTCTACCAGATGTGTGAGATATTTATTGGTAGTTTCCTCTTTGCTCTCCCAGGCTCAAGTCTGCTCCACGACCAAAGTTTTCAATTTGTGTGCTGGGGGATCAGCAGCATTGTGATGAGGCCAAAGCAGTTGACATCCCTCACATGGACATAGAAGCTCTGAAGAAACTTAATAAGAACAAGAAGCTAGTGAAGAAACTTGGTAAGAAAAATTGGAAAGGGATTTCTCAATCACTGGTTTCTCTCATCTAAGCAAAACATTATTTGTTAGCGTACAGGTTGGGTCTCCCTTATCCAGAATTCTGAAATCCAGAATACTCCAAAAACAAAAGTCTTTGTGGGTGGCTGAGATAGTGACACCTTTGCTTTCTGATGATTCAGTGAGCACAAACCACTTTTCACGCCATATATATAGTATAGTATAAAATTGGCTTCAGTCTATGTGTATGAGGTGTATATGAAACATAAATGAATTTTGTATTTATACTTTGGTCTCATCTCATTATGTATATGCAAAAACAGGTATTCCAGAATCCACAAAATTCTGAAATCCAAAATACTTCTTGCTGCAGGCATTTTGGATAAGAACGACTCAACCTGACCTTAATAGTTTTTTAAAATGATTTGTTTGGAATTTATTTTTTAAGCAGAGGAGAAAACACAGTGCTTGCTTTCGGATGTCATACCATGCTGGAATAGGGCAAGCCAGTTTACTGGTGCATCCTGGCTTACTGTTCCAATGTGCAGTAGAAGTGGTTTAGCCATAGAACAAAAGCTGCTCTAAGACATAGTGCCCTCACCTATGGAGGATAACTCCCAACCCTTGAGCGCATGTTTTGATTTTAGTCTCCATAAAAAATGAAAAAAAGGATAGGGCTGGGTATATAGCAAGTCTTCGTAGGTGGCATTTGAAGATACCTGTATTCTGTTGTGTAAGCTTTTGTGACGAGTCTCTAATGGTTTTAGTGTTATGTATTAATCTTTGGGCCTTTTTTTAAATAGCCAAGAAATATGATGCTTTTCTGGCCTCCGAGTCCCTGATCAAGCAAATTCCTCGAATCTTGGGCCCGGGACTGAACAAGGCTGGCAAATTTCCTTCTCTCCTGACTCACAATGAGAACATGGTATCAAAGATTGATGAAGTCAAATCCACAATCAAGTTTCAAATGAAAAAGGTAATTTTAAAAAATACTACAGATGTTCATGTCAGTTTTGCATGGTCTGTATTGTTTTGTCTTAAACCCTATCTACAAATAGCAAATCTGGATTGTAGAGGTGTAAGATACAGTTGTGTGATAGGAGTTGGATCCTTTGGAATAGAGAACTAGGATGGCTTTCTCCTGTTTAAAGAAAAAGGATACCTTGGTTGAAGGGAAGCTGAAGGCAGGACAAATCTGTCTCAAGA